CACACCATTAGTTAAATTAAATACAATTTAAATAAACATGCAGTATGACATAAAAATACAAGTATTATTTGATTCTAAATTAACGAAGCTATACAAACAACGAGAGCTAAATGAATAAACAGAGAACAAAACGCATGAATTTGTAAGGTACTATTGGGGCGTATTTTATCGTTAGACAGATTCTTTCGGGTTATTCGGTGCAATATAATGTCAAGATCAGTTCACATAACGATAACGAATGAATATATTTTTTCTATAAAGTTTGCTAAAGGCTACGTTTACTTTAACACAAGATGTAACATTTTAAGCCTAAGTTCATAAATAATGTTTGAACAAAAATTCCGAGCTAATGGTACGCCGGCGTAACTTACAAATAAACTTACTTATAGAATATCTTTGCTAATCGATCGATTAACTTAATAAATGCAATGGCTGTCACCACAAACATCGAACTCGCTAAACATTTCTCTGAATTCTATCAGTTTTTAATTTCTCATTAACTCACTGCTTCACTTAACTCGTATTTATACCATACTCACTTTCTACTCACTATCAGGGTCGGCGCCAGCTTCTTCCTGGTGAGGGGGATGAGTGGACAAGACAAAAAAATTGAGGGCTGCACTCTGCATTTTGTGGGCACACATATTATAATACTTAAGAAATGAACTAGCTTTAATACTGAGCACTTTTCGTTTGGTGCAGGGGCTACAGTGAAAGCTATGGTACATTTTGCGTTAGCTTCAGCTCCATCAAGTCCCCACTTATTGCCACCCCTTATTCAATTAAAACATGTTAGATCATATCATAGGTGCTGAATTTTACTCAGAGTGTTCTGGAATTACAGAAGTTACAACCCTAACTTCTGTAATTCCAGAACACTTTGAGACATGACTGTTTTCAAGTTCGCCTCCAAGTTTAAAACAATCAATGGTAATTTTAGTGAAGCTGACATAGTGTTTCTAACCATTGACCTGGTGTGAACAAATATACACCCAACTTTAGAATCTGGAGCATTTCACCAGCTCTACATCACCGACTACATCTTCCAATAAAAGAATTATAATACAAGTATCACACTTTTCTCTGGAAGCTGTTCCCCCTCAACCCCTTCCCCGGAGCTACCGCCTACTTGGTGCCTATGGCTCATATTAAGTAACATTAAGGCCTCAATTTATAATTTAACTTTTTTGTAGACACTGCCTTTCTTCAATGCAATACTCTTTTGTTATATAGCATATCATATTGTTTCAATATTCTATATGGTTATTGTTAAAAAATAAATTTTAAAGCACAAAATCAGATTTATATAAACATTTTTCAAAACAATTATTCCTTTTTTTCAGATAATAAGTTTTCTTGTTTTGGTGGTAGTAGTAACTTGCCAGAGGTTTCCTAGCCCATTCTCAGGCTTAGCTTTACTAGAACGTCAGCAGGCTAATGTGCCTGGCTATTACCCATTTGGTATAAAGACATTATTTCAGAGGCCAGAAAAACTGCACTTAGACGAAGTGGGGAAGAGTGGACTCGATGAAAATAGTTCAAGTCATACTGAAGGTGTATTACCACAGGCAATTGTTAAGGACTCTTTAAAAGGAGGAAGAAATTTGGATGCACATGAAAGACCGCCACAACAAGAGACTGCTTTATTACCTCGTGCACCTTTCGCTGGTCCTCGGTCTTCTCAAAATGTCAACGACAACACATCTCTTTTTCCAGTATCTGAAAATGATAATAACTATGGGAAAACACGGACTCAGATTAAAGATCAAAGTCACGTGGAATACCTTGATGAACCAAATCAGCAACCTGATGTCTCAGCCAGAGTGCTACCTAAACACCAACATGTTGACATGAGCAATCATAAGCTTTATCTTTCACAGAAACATGATTCGGGTTCTGATCCTAAAGAACATAGGAATTTTCCTAACCTTGATTATGCAGCAGTTAACCACCCGAAAGAATACCAGCCAATTCTTAACAGTCACTCAAGTGACCAGCACCATTACCCTTCCCCTCATTTCAGTGACCAGCAACCTTATACTACTTTCAATCCAAATGAGAAGAATTATTATTCCCATCCTGTCACTAGTGATCAGAGAACATATCCTCATTTAGCAGTAGGTAGTCATCATCCTTACTTACATCCAAATATTAATAATCAGCAGTCTTATTCTCTTTCTGAACCAAGAGCTCAACATTTTCATCCTGGTTCTAACCATGACCCAACGGATCAAAATGTTCACCCTCATCCGAACCCAATTGACCAACATCCTTATTCTAACCAATATGACCAGCCTTTACTTCCTAATTCTGGTTCGACAGAGTATACTTCACACCTAAGACCTATTCAAAAACAGTCTTATTATTCAAATCCTGCCACTAGAGGCCACAATTATCAACGTCATTCTGACTCTAGAGACTTGCATTCTCATCAACATATTGATCAAAGTGCTTACCCTCAACCTAAAGCCAATCCGTTATATAATCACGATAGTCTGACTAACAAATTACCAAAAGAATCATCCTATGACAATCCTGATCCTAACGATAGAAGTTTCCAAGAACTTCCTAAATCACAATATGAAGTGTCAAACATACACTCTGCCCACAAGATTGATAAAGGTTCACATTATTCTAATATCCTTCCAAAAGCTACTGAAACAGATGATTCTGTACATAAGCATGTTTCTAATTCTCCTTATATTCCCCTGACACCCTTCCAGTCCAGAACTGATAGGCATCCACAACAAAATTACGATTATAGTACTCTTTCAGAAAGTTCAAGTCTGAAATCAAAGAAACCTAATGTAAATATGCCACAGGATGAGTACAATGAAAATAAACCAAATTACCCATATGAGAATCAATTCGATATCTCACCACCTACAGCTCGTGAAATCACTGGCAGTTATCACAGTTCGCAACCTGTGGCAAATCATCTTAAAAAGGAAGATGCCTATCACCCAAGCAGTTTGCATTCTGAGGAGATACCATCTTTGAAACAAAGTTTGTCCACTCCATTAGAATACACTAGAGCTAATAACGTAGATCACACTGAGAATTTAAATTCTCAAGAACAGTTTTTATCTAAACATAACCAAAACCGCAATCCCCCACTCACAAGTGTTTATCCTTCTCATAGAACACTATCTGAACGTGATCAAAATCAGCAGGTGAAACTAAAAAATAACAGATCAAATGATGAACATAATAGAGCAGCAGACCATGATAATCGCCCATCTCTTGCTATTAATAAAGAGATTATCGAACCAATTCAAACAGAGAATGGGGATTATTCGTATCAAGATTATGAAGAAAACAGTAAAGATCATCCCCATCTGTCTGCCAGTTCTGGACCACAGTATATACTTCAACCACAACCTGCAGCATTGATTGCTAGCCCAGCATTTGCACAAGATCCAGTAAGTCCTCTGAAATCCAGTTATACACCTCATTCTAACATTCCAAAGAAAACGAAATCTGTTCCAGACGTGGTGACTGTTCCTATTTCACCAGTAAACAACAAAACTGTTTTGTCTACATCGGATGATCATTCGAATGCTAATAATGGTCAGAAAAGTTTTCAAACGCCACACCCTGTTTCTAATGTAGCCAACAAACAAACATATGTGGATTGGACAGCAAAAATGGATACATATAAATACGACATGGAAACATGGCCAGAATGTGCCAAAACCAGTAGTATGTACTGTTTGGACGACTCTGAATATCCAAGGTATGTATCTAAACAAACATTATTATGAAAATTGTTCTATTCTATCCTATCTATCTGTAGAAACTAAATAAGCATATTATGTACATGATGGAAATGTTTCATTTATGAATTTCGTTTAAAACATGTAATAAACACATCCCCTCAAATTAATTGCTGAAGATTTGTAACGCAATCAAAATAAGACCAAGGTTTCTTATTAATGAAAGTTTAAAATACTTATACCAATCTGATTTGTAATTAGATTTTCTTTTCCACAGTGAAGTAATCAGGTACGCTATTGATAAAGAGAGGCATGTATTGAATCGGCTGTTGGCTGAGATCAAACATCAGTCGACTCCTCCGTTTCTTGATGGACTAACCGAAAAAGATGAAAAATACATCTACGAGCATCATCACTATGCACCACCAAATGGAACTGATTATTTAACCTCACTTACCAACAACCAGTATAAGGAAGACGGTTATAAAAACAGGGGCTACATTTGTCCATCAGAGATTGATTATGCACGCCCTCTTCGTGCTTTGAACGCTTTCGGCCAGTGGAAACTCATTCTCAACCTTGACACTCCTTACAAGGATAAAACATTCACTCAAACAGTGCTATTAGAGAAGTGTATGTAAGTATGAATGCTTAATTATACCAGAAGACAATAACAATTTTAACATTGTAGGTTATTGTTTGCTAAAGGGAGTTTTGGTATGACGAAGAGATGATGCGTGACGCCTATACATTTCCGGACTTTCTAGATTTAACGCGACATCTCGAATTTTCTTGAGACATAGTGATGACATATGACACTATAATATCACTGGTGTCTCTAACAGTGTTAAATGACGTAAAGTTAAGCTAGAAAGAGGGGGAGGTATGTGACAGTTTTTAAATATCATTTAGAGAGTTTAGTTACAGTCAGTTCAGCGCCATAAGTTTATATGTAGTATATAAGTACAAAAGTCATGGCCATGCGACTACTAGCTTATAATTCAAAAGAGAAAATCTCGCCATCTACATACTTTATGATTTTCTAACCCTTCATTTTTATTTAAGATCAAGTTGCTTTTGCTTTGTTTCATTATTTCGATGGTTTCTCCAATATTTCTAGCATTCATATTATTCGGTTGAGCCAAAATAACAGTTTAAAGAAAAGAACAATTAGAATAAATGAACGCAAGAGAAATGTTAAAAACAAAAGTGAAAACTCTACATTAGCTGAACTTGTATATTATACTGGACATATCATCCATTAGGGGAAAAAACGGTTATTTTGGCACAACACAGAAAAAACAACTTGATCTTAAATACGGATGAAGGTTAGATAATCAGAAAGTATGTAGTTGGCGCGATCTTCTTTTTTTTTTAAATTGTAAACTAGTAGTCAGCTGGCCATGGCTTTTAACACCACATAACACAACTACACAGTTAACGTTATTGCACAACAAATACGTAATCAGACAAGATAAACGGACAGGGCACTGAGGAGGAAAGTAGCAACAGTAACAAATAGACATCCAATCCAAACCAGCTTACCAAAACCACAAAATAGTTTTCATCAAACAACAACAGTTCAGGAGGGAGAAAGAGGTCTTAGTACCTGACCCTCCCAGGTCTTCAAGACCTAAATTCTGATGATGATGACGACGACCATGGCTTTTGTACTTATAATTGAAGTTATATAGTACACAGTAGCCGTTTTTCACATTCCTGAAAGTGAGGGAAAACCCCGTTGAAATATGTAAAGTGACTTTTACAGCCGTTGATCGGTTTAAATAAAGATTTTAATAGTGCATTATAAAATGTTGTTCGTTTGTGGATTATAATATTTCAAATATATGCACAAGTTCCTTGAATTTTAACCTTTTTTATTAAGCTTTTTTAAGTTTCATTTATGAGTCAGGTTTGATTGTTTGCAGTTAAGCACAAAGCTACACAAAGGGTTATCTGTGCTCTGCCCACCACGGGTATCGAAACCCGGTTTCTAGCATTGTAAGTCCGCAGACATACCGCTGTGCCACTGGGGGGGGGGGGGAGGGGGGCTTACGAGTTAGGTCTATCAAAGAACGCCACTTGTAGGACTTTTACGCTGTTGTCGGTAATAAACGCTTCTGTTTTCATCAAATAGACTGGACAATATTTTTACCGAATAATCAAAAAGAACCCACTCAACGATAGGAAACACTAAAATAATGATCACAGTGTCTTGAGACTATCATCAGTTTGCCCCTGAAGAAGGAAGGTCCACCTTTCGAAAGCGCTCCGGTTATAGGGTTTTTATCATTTTGTATAAAGTTATGTTCGATTTCAATTCCCGTCCATCATCCATGTCACAGTTTGATCTTAATCGAATACAAGAGATGTATAGTATATATTGTTAATGCTATTTAACTGAGAACAAAAATAATGAAAAGCTCTAAAAGTTTAAAAGTTAACATGGAAAAATATTTTGATAACTCCTCCATTTATGTTCAAAATCTAACTCCTCCATTTATGTTCTAAATCTTTCAAACGGGTCGGTATTGTAGGCCTTCCGCTGACATGACAGATTGTTTATCATGTGAACCAAAAGTTTGTTTATACTTGAAATCCTATTATGTTTTAAAGTGTTTTTTTTTTTAAACATAAAATGACAAATTTCTACGAACATAGCCGATTTCGATCATCGACGATCGCGGAAACTGGAAAACATTTACGACTTTTCATCCCTTACCAATTGTTCGAGTGCAGACGATGATTTGATAGCTTTTATATTCGACTATACAGCACTGGTTGACAGCACTATGCATCTGTGTTGTTGATCATTGGTTTAATTCCTTTAAAAATCAAGTGAAATATTTGTTGAATTCGCCATTTTAAACGCGACAGAATATTCAATTTTAGGCTGAAATTTCTAAATTGTCTGTATAGGAGTGTTAGTTACGAACTCTGCACCATTCTCTTGATCGATAGCCCCGGCATGGCCAGGTGATTAGGGCGCTCGATTCGCAACCTGCGAGTCGCAGGTTTGAATTCCCGTCACACCAAACATGCTCGCCCTTTCAACCATAGGGACGTTATAATGTTACGGTCAATCCTACTCGTCGTTGGTAAAAGAGTTGGCGGTGGTTGATGATGACTAGCTGCCTTCCCTCTAGCCTTAAACTGCTAAATTAGGGACGGCTAGCGCAGATAGCCCTCGTGTAGCTTTGCACGAAATCCAAAACAAACTCTTGATCGCATTTTGCGTGTTCATCTCCCTATATAGAAATACACAATGTTAATAGATGTAACTCAAATTTCTTTTAATATTGAATTTGAAATACCATAGTAAAATTATATAATGTTGATATCAGGGGCGTAGCCAGCACAACAGAGAGGGGTGAGAGTATTTTACACACACAAAAAAAAAGGGGGCCCTATTCTTATGGACAAAGGATCTAAGTAATTTAATCTTAGCCTAAATGAAACTTGTAAAATGAAAGTATTCAAAACTTTAAAACAAAGAGGTGCTTAGCTTTACCTCACTGTAATAAGCTACTGGGTTAGTTGTAAACGTATTTTTTGAATATTGGATGATCTTTTGACCCACCCCGGTCTACGCTTCTGGTTAATATATTTTTTTAACGTTAAGTGTTAATAATACTTGTACTGTGTGAGAGTAATATCGCATTGTTCGAAAAATAAGTAAATATTATTCTCTCTGTTTTGAGTCATTCATGACAATAAGACATTTTAAATATATTTTGGATATTCTGAATCAGGTTATTTTTCAAATATAGTTATATTTTCCGATAAATTCTAATTTATAAACCATTAAACTTATACCACCCTGATACTTGGCTAATAAAGCAGTCTTCTATTTAATGGTTGGAGACGGCTTGAATGGGTAATGAAGAAAAACTTTAATATAAGTTTAACATAACAGCAAATGTACAACGTTTCTACCTGATGATGGCAAAACCTTTTCGGTACGTTGTATATTTGCTGTTATGTTAAACTTATATTAAAGTTTTTCTTCATTACCCATTCAAGCCGTCTCCAACCATTATTAGTCTCAAAGTGGGTTCCTCGTCATCGAATTTGAGTCTTCTATTTATTTGAAATTGTGAACTATATCTTCTTGTTTATTCTCT